CTGCTGAAGAAACAGAGTGTAACAGACCTTAGCCAGTCTGTTTGGAGCTTATATCTATGTGATACAGCTTTTTAAAATTTACACACTGAAGCCAGCATTTGGAAATCACTGCACCATGTTTTATTTTTTATGATCAGGGAAGTCATTTCCTGATTGGATGACATCCTGGAAACAGCAGTAAACTAATGCTTCTGATATGTTTAGGAGAACATGCAGTGAAGGAGCTATAGTGTTTTCAAAATAATGCATTGTGTGTGAGTGTATACGTTTCTCTCTGTGTCGCTTTAGACTGTCATCTAACTTTCTCTGCTGTATCTTGTGTGAAACCACTTCTTGGTCAAATGAAATATGTAATTATGACCTTCTAATTAGTTTGCTACTATAAATGTCATCTTAATGTTTTACATATGTCTGCTTCTCTCCATTTGACTCAGTTTCTTGATAATTCTTTCTTTTTTACTTTGCTGTTACTATTTGTTGCTGCCGATATTTAATTTCCCAGGGGGCATCGTTACAGTTGCTGTCTTTTCTTTATCTCATTGTTTTTAAGAATAAGCACAAGGGTTGGTTTGATTTTCATTCAACTGCATAAAAATGATGAAAATCTAAAATTCTGGCTGGGAGTTGGGAGCGTGTTCTGCACAACATCAAACTTGACTTCTTCATGTTGTATTTCTGGCACTGCAGCTCAGATCCTGTGAACTGCTGCCACTGTACCTTACATTCCTGCACAGAGCAAGCACATTCATCACACAAAGAAATTGAGAGCAGCAGTGAAATTAAGTGATGTGCCAGACTCACAAAAGAGGTTATAAGCACTCATTTGAATGTTTACATTATATTCTGATGTAATCTTTTTACTTAAAATTAACTGGTTGCATGTCTTCTGATACTATTTGCCATTTGTTTAAACTGGTGTGCTATGTGTGTGCAGGGACAACAGAGCGGGTGTGTCTGATCCAGGGGACAGTGGAGGCGCTGAACGGCGTCCATGACTTCATTGCTGAGAAGGTGAGGGAGATGCCACAGAGCACCCAGAAGACAGAGCCGGTCAGCATCCTGCAGCCGCAGACCACCGTCAACCCCGACCGTGTCAAACAGGTCAGTTCAACTGTCCCAGAGCAGAGGCTGTGTGTGTGTGAGGAAAACAGTGAGGAAAGTGTGTGCCTGTGGTGGAGTTGTGATTTTGTGTTTGAATGAAACTGAATGAGGCAAAAAAAACAAACAAACAGATGAAGGTTAGAGAAAGAAAGAGGGTGAAAAATGAAAAATAACTGGAAAGAAGACAAATGAAAATGAGAGAAGTAAAGGAGGCAGGATGCAGCTTGTGAGGTAAGAAAAACTCCACAACCACCCTGGGCTACCACACACACACACACACACACCACAAACCTAAACATTCACCCCAACAAGAAACTGAGGGAGGAAGTGTGAGGGAGTGTCCTGATCACTCACACTTTTGTGAGACGTGTCTTAATGAGGAAACAGAGATCCAACGTTCCATCCCACTTCCTGTAGTATTCAACTTTTTCATCTTCTCCTCTGTTCTCTCACTCTCTTTCTTGCTCTACTTGGAGCAGCCATCATGAAACACAGGGCCTTGTTACTGATGTCAGTGGAAAGATAGGATTGTCTGTGACTGTTATCAGCACAAAAGACACCAACAGAAGCATCTGCAATTTAATATTTTGAGCAGGATTACAACTATACAGCACTGAAAGTGCAGGGTTGGGAGGGTTATAGATTACCTGTTAAAAATATATTCAGTAACTTACTCTAAGTATCGCAATATTAAAGTAATGGTCTTGGTCTTATATAGCGCCTTTCTATGCTTTTTACAACACACTCAAAGAGCTTTCACATTATTCGGCCATTCACCCATTCACACACCGGTGACATCACCGGGAGCAACTGGGGGTTCAGTGTCTTGCTCAAGGACACCTCGACATGTTGACTGGACAAGCCGGGAATCGAACCGCTAATCCTCCGGTTAGGAAACGACCCGCTCTACCTCCTGAGCCACAGCCGCCCCCGTAACAATGTAACGATTACTTTTCATTACTTTTGGATTACCTCGATTGCAACTAAATAACGATGTGAGATAATAAACATCAATAAGATGTTTCTTACTGAAGGGTATTCTGCAAGACAACAAAACTATTTAACAATAAAAAAAAAAATAGGGAAACCAAGATTTTTAGTATCAAACGTGTCCTCAGTGTATAAGCAGTAGCCTATAGACCTACAACAACCACATATGACCACATAGTACAGTTTATAAAGTAAACTATAACATATGCTTTAACAGTAAAACTGTTAAAGTTAATGCGATAATAACAAGTTAACACAAATCTTTTTGATGCCACGATTATGACCCTCAGCCTGCCCAATAATTTTGGAAATCAAGAAGCGATGCAGCAGTAAGGTTGTGGATGGTGAGCAGAAACAAGCCTCCTTAAGCAGAAATGGTTAAAGAAAAGGGTCTTTTTAATGGCAAGTTCAGCTTCAAAGCCCGTCCAGATGGTTCTCTCGACAAAAACAAAGTTATTTGCATTTACTGTCGATATGAATTGAGTTACCACCAGAGTACATTGAGTCTCAAATACCACTTGCTGGCCAATCACTGCTGATGCAGAGAGCCCTCCTCCCCCTCTCCAAAGGCAGACCACGCTGGATAGTTTGCAGTGGAGACGTTTGGACAACTCTACAAGAAACAAACCTTCAACAGCAACAGCTAAAGGGCGGCTCTCTAATGAAAACCCTGTGCAGCTCATACTGATGCCAAAAGCCACCCATTCAGTATGAGCCACAAAAGATACTTGACAAAGTATTTGTCACCATGGTATGAGGACGTGTTGGACTATCTAGAACAGTGGCTGATACTGATTTAGCTGAGGACACACAAGAAAAGCCAGGCAATATGTTTCAGCAGAACATTTTCAAGTTTTTGCTAAGTAACATTTTTACTTAATTGCATCAGTTCACGTGAAGCTTGTTCCACTGCTGATTGTGCAGCTAAGTCAATACCAACTGTGCAATGGAGCACAATTAGTGCAGCCACTGACTATGATCACTATCTGTTTAAAAGTGATTATCGTCATTGTCTCTTCGTGGTTGCTCTCTGTTGATTAGTCAGGTCTGATGTTGTTTCCATTTATTGACTGTTCAGACCTGTCAGACAGCGCCTTCAGCCAGGCACAGAATTCATTTTGAAAAGCAATAATATTTTAACTAGTCTTGAAAAAAACATCAAAGAAACAATCAATAAAAACATAAATAATCAAAGAGAAAGACTGAAATGCTGACATCTGTTAAAAAAAGTCCCAGAAGTTCACTGAGCTCTGGTGTTGCTGCATGTGGACAACTGAATATCACAGCTGTTGTTAAACATCTTGGTCACTAATGTTGGGTGATGAGGCATGGCTCGCACTCCTCGCTGCAGTCGGTCTCAAAGGGGCTGGGTGTGCTGAAGTCGCTCGAGTTTTTCCACATCAAACTCAGGTTGCAGTTGCCAGGCAACCACTGGAAGTTCCAGGAAGTTACTGCTCAGAGGCAGAAAATACTGCAGCACATAGCCCCCTGTTAAAGTGTCAGTTTTACATCACAGATTTTGTACAGATAAAACAGAGATAATTGCTGAGCTTGCTGTGAGACAGATCTATTTGGCTAGCTGTTTCCCTATGCTTCAAGTGATTGTGCTAAGCTAAGCTGCTCACAAGACATATCTTCATATTTAGCATACAGCCATGAGAGTGACTACTCTTTTCATCTGATGTGTCATCAAAACGTCGAGCTTTTACAAAACTAAAAGTACCAGACCAGGGTGTTATCAGCTCTTTCTCTGCCGTAGGATAGAGGGTTAAAACATTAGCTTTCACCTTCTTTCTCTTTCAGATCTGTTGCTTATTAATGTGTATACCATCTTTTTCTTTTTTTTTTTTTTATGTCGTATTATTCAGTTTATATTTCCTGCATCATTAGTGTTTGAGCCTGAGGATGACTGACAGTTGAGTGATGTTGTTTCGGACGAGGCGAGCGGCCGCAGGGAGACATTCAGGCTAATAGCTGCTGATATTTGGGCACTTATAATAGAGGGCAAATCCCCCTGTTGCTCTTTTGGCTATTTATACCATCGCAGAGAGGACACTAAATAGGTTTGAGCTGCATTTGACAACACACAAGTGTTCACACACAGACAAAGAACCCCTACATAAAAATACTCTCAGCCCTTCTGGATACACAGAGGCCTCCAGTGTTCGAAGGCCGTTCACCAAGTCAAAAGAAGCTTTATTTAAATTTTAGCACAAAGTTTTGTTAAGATGCCACATGTATTTGAGTCAATTACAGAGAAATATATATAAAATTATCCTCAGTTCTTTGAGCATGTTGTAGTTTATAAAATAGTGTAACTATTAACTAAGTATAATAATTATCACACAGCTGTGATTCCTTTTCCTGTTTCAGTGACAAGCAAGAGCACAGGGTCAGGTGTTCAGGATCTTCTTAGAAGACTACTGCAAGACTAATGTACTGTAATGCAGAGACGAGTAATTGAACAAAGTAACACACTACCCCAAACACACACAGTTACTCACACTCACACACACTTAGTAGACTATTAGGAAGCTGAGAAGTCTTGGTAGAGTGTTAAAAGCTTGGTCGTCTTTTGTGGAAACAGTTTTGTAACCAAAACAGCACAAACTTGGTTTGAACTAATGAACCTCATATGAAAACACACAGACACACACACAATCACACATGGACCTGTGAAAGATAAATGGGTGTCCAGTGCAGCGTAGTCGTTGATTGTCTCCTATTTCAGGTTGCGGATAAAAATGTCTCCCCCTTCTTGTCAAGAGTGCGGCTGTTGGAGCATGTGGTGCTGGTATTACTGGTTGGCCCCTGGGACTGAGTGAGAGACAGAAAGAGGGCAGGAGGAAGGGAGAAAAGGTGTTGCAGGGTGTGATGTTGAAACAAAGGACTGGGAGGAAGAGGAAGGAGCAGAAAGGAGGGAGCTGACATGGAGATAGAGCGCAAACCAAGCCATGAAGCAGAGTCTGGCCGGCAGAGTGGGCGACTGAAAGCTAGCAGACGACCTGAGCCCTTGTTAGCCAACAGCTGCAGAGGGCTCCGCTGGAAGGAGCAGCTGCTGATAGAAAAACAGAGCAGCAACGACACCGACAGACGACACGCCGCGCTTCAAGGCCATATAACAGGACAACAGACTAGTGATGAAGATGATTTATGAGCTGAATAAATCTCTCTGCTCTGACGCCTGAGATGACACATGGCTGAAGAGAATTTATTGTGGGACTTCATTACTTTTATTTATGTCGTGTTTGCTTTTGTTTGTACCCTCAAGTGCACTGTTTTAAAACATCATCACCCCCCTGTTCACCCTGCAGCTAAAGTTACAATGGAGAATTTACTTAAATATTTATTGTCTATAGAGGATGATAAGTGTTCTTAAAAATAACTGATGCAAATTGACTAATTTAAAAAAAGTCAGTGTAAATTATTTTCATCTTTTAAAACACATTAGAGATTGGATTTGGAAAATTCTACAGATACTGAACAATTATCTCCCATAATACACTTGATTTAGATTTTAGGTAGTTTTATTTTGAGATGCATTTATTTATATTTAGTTTACAGTACATAAATAAGAATAAATTATTCACTGACTAGACCAATGACACGGTATAAAGTATTTATTAGCCTAAGCTAAACTGTAGCGTTTGTACACTTCCTTTAATGGGCACCAGAAGTCAAACTAACACATAAAAATACAATACACATTTACTTTTCACAAGAAATTAGGGTTTCAATGAGGGCTGCACAGTTCTGGGTAAAATATGAATCTTTTTTTTCCCATTTAGAATAAATGACGATTCTAAACCAATGAAATACTGTCCCATTAACATAACCCACGCACACCTTTATACTCTATATACCATGAAAACACAGCTCACCTACTCAACCAGAAACAGATGTAGCCAGCTGTTTTTATATAATGGATCTCCCAGCTAATGCAAACATGGCAGAATCCTCTACACGTGAAAATGACCGCGCAGGGGTCTGAATCAAGATAAAAAAAAGGG